GTTCTCGCATCTTCTCACTGCTCTCCAGCTGTAGTTTTCGACACAGAGAGGTTTAATTCCGATCGGATCTGGTTCAAGGAGGACGTACTGTTGGAAACAGTCCTCAGAATTTTCCGCTCGTCACGGGTAGTAATCTTTCATGGGTGTCCACAGTCGGTGTTATATCTAACGACATGAGGACTCTCTAGAAATCTCCGAATGGACCAAGGGGACCTCTCTATTTGCCTGGAAATGGCTCGAGTACGGAGCCCACCTTCATGATGAGCCTTCTCATCAGAGGAAAGCAGATGACCACGAGCCATGTTGACAGTCAGGTTTAGAAATGCCTTTGCTACACATGCTTACCTTTACAAGTATCTTCAAACACGAAATTTCCTCTCTTTCGTTAATAATTGTTCACTTTCTCAGGGTGACCTTATAATTATGAAACGGTGCAAAAACCGATAAACTGTTCTAAAAAAGTTCAGAAGAATGCAGCAGCGGCTAAGCGACGGATACCTAGGTTATTCGTGCTGGGGAATCTGTTCATGATGCTAGAAAAAATCCTTAATGATTCCTTTTTTTGAAAATGCAAAAATTGAGGGTGACCTTATAATTATGAAACGCACTGTATTAGGACAGCTGATGCGCTTCATATAAACAGCTTCCTGCAAATTCACTGAGTACAATCACAGCGTGAGAGGTGGAGAAGGTTGAAGGATATGAAGTTCGAGGCGACACAGTATGATATAGAACAATATGACACTCCGGAGGTAATCGTAGAAAACTTTGGACTATGACGAGTACTTCATTAACCAGGAATGCTTCATAGTATGGCTTGTAAAGGCACCATTATTACTTCAAGAAGGAAGACAAGGTGTTTTTGAGGGTCTATAGGGATAAGGGAGTGAGGGTGAGAGAGAAGCTTACATCCATGGATAGGGCCCCATGGTAAGGAGATTATGTAATTTCTGGTCCTGAATCCGTGAAGGCATGAGAAACATTTAGTGTTTAAGAGCTATCGATTCGCAGGGAGGCTGATCTCACTTTTTGATTGGTGACCAAAGACCGAATTCTCGAGGACTTTTTACTATTCCGTGCCTTCCATCTATTCCACTCAAAAAATGGTGCCTCGTGTTGAAAACAGCAAGCTACTCTGGTCGGGTTATCCTCCCAGACGAGGCTGCTACCAATCAAGGTTATCAATCAAGGTATTGCGGGGGGACAGTGGACTTGGTTGACCTGGGAGGGTATGTGTTCGGGATCTGATTCCTGGAGCATGAATGTGATAGCACTTATGTTCCAGGAATCAGATCCTATTGGAGCACTTGGCAGTAGACCACTTTTGCCTTTAAAGCTTAAAATAAATAGAATTTTAGAAATTAAACAGACCAAGAAGGAGAAATTCTGAAAATTGCAGAGGAGGAACAGCTTGAAGGAGCCATTCAAGAAGACACAACTCTGTCACGAAGCGATAGTGGGTGTCTCAATTTCTTAGTGCCTTTATACTCGTCGATTGTAGGGCAATCCAAAAGACGTTAACATAGTGAAGGAGAGTCACAGTTGAGCTGGTTTTGAGATCGTTACAGCCATCAGTGAAAGTCGTTTTAAAATTCATAATGACTCGTGGAACATTATCGAGAACTGGTGGCCCAATGAAGTCAATTGTGGTCGTTACGCTGCTTAACGAGCACCGATGTAGGTCCTTCCGATGACTGGAAAAACAGCCTCCATCAGAGGGTCTGAAGGAGAAAGGGTGTGGGAGGATGTACCGCCTCATGACAATTTAGCGGAACACTCGAAAACACTATCCATCCGTAGGTATGGGAGATGTATGACATTCAGGGACATCCAGCGGCCTCCCTACAACACCTCCGGTTGACCGAGTACATCGTGCTTACAACAGCAATGACTAACGAGCAGATGAAATGAACGATGGTCACAGAATTCAACAGTGCATTGAAAAGGCCGGTTTGTACCGGAACAACGAAACGAAAAGGATATTCGATGGACTGGATTTTGGAGGTCGTGATCACGCTTAATGAAACCTTTTATTGCTTCGGCCATAGGTTTCTAGGTCGACTACTTCGTACTAGATCCACATCCGATGATCGGAACCGGAATCAATTGGAATTGTTTGACATCCTTCAATTCAGGACCCTCATAATCTTGTCTCGATTCGGATTGAACTCGACGACATGGCGCGCTCTTGGATGGAAATGAATAGAAGATGCAGTCAAAAAGACGGTGGGATTACTGTTTTCTTTATATTTGCTGAATTGCTACCCGCGATACCGAATTTGAAAAATTCTGTTAAAGATAAACCAAAGTAGACCTTTTTTCAAAGCTCTCAGGTTTGCCTATATCCTATATCCATATCCAAATTAAATAACCATTAATTACCGTTTTCGAGCCGTTTTCTTTGTACTTCCTTTGACATCCTTCAATTCAGGGCCCTCCTAATGTACTCCTGATTCTAAATGAACTCGACTTTATGGCGCGCCTCTGCTTGGAAAGAATGGAAGCTGAGTTGAAAGTGCGATAGGAACGCTCTTTTTTTATCCTACTCGGATCGCTACCTCTCCTAAGTTAAATTAAAATTTATTCTGAGACAGGCCATTTTTTAAAGCATTCAGGTTTGCCTAAACCTATATGGAGTTCGTCCAGCCAAATAACCTAGACTATTATTTACAGTTTTCAAATTCAATGGTAAAGGATAAAGTCTTCGGCGTTGATCCATCCCAATTTTGGAATGATCTTTTTGAGATGAAGAAGTCACTACTTTTATCGTCCCAGATGAGTCTGGTACTAGTGAACATACCACCGAGGGATGAAAGGCTCAGTTGACATTGACGTGTACCTAGCCAGGATCTGAGCCCCTGACTCGGCATGTGTGAAAATGAATCACTTCGCCCCTCACCACTCCAGCTCTGCTTTCAAATTACAAGCTTCAAAGCTTGGCTATTACCCAGACTTTTTCAAATGCACTCATTTGTAAAACATGTTAGAAGGATGATGAGGTTCGATGAAGTTTGGTTCGTCACCTCTTGAGGAAGAATTTTCACGCTATGCTTTTTACCAACTCGTCGAGGGACTTTTCTAGATCCAGCTGTCAGTAATTCAAAACTGGTAGTGACTGATGGGGTTCCCTATCAATAATTAACAAGACTGATCTCTTTGATATGAATTATACTTTGATTTGTTTGTAATACGTTATATTGAGACTCAATTGTGTAGCTTGCTATTATAAGAGGTTTTCTTCTGGGCTGAAGGTGCCGTGGAACAGCTATTGTACGTATGTATGAGCCGAAACTGAACGGCTTGTTTGGAATTTAGCCGAACTAATAAACTGAGAATTCAAAATCAAATTTCAACTAAGAAATACAGGTAAGAGAAGCTGAATTGAAGTTCTAAATGAATCTACTTGAAAGAAAAAATACTTGTTCAGAAAATAGGAAAGAGCGGAGCTGTGTAGGAGCAAATGACACACTAAGCCACACTCATTGTCACGGGTACGAATCCCGGCCGTTATCCGCCTGGGCCGTTCAAGCCTTCTATCCCTTCGGGGTCGTTGAATGTGTACCAGACCTGTGTTTTAGGTTAAAAGCACTGGCTTGTACATCGGCTGGCTACCGCAAACCATTGTATTGGCCACATGCATACAATACGCCACTGCGATTCTGGGTGGATGTCGAAAGCGGGGCGCATCTCTCATCCATTCAGACCGATTGGCGCCAAAAGTTTCAAAACTTATAGAAAGTAATAGAAAGGTTTGTTTTGTTTTTCAAATGGTTTGAACCACTGCGACACCTGCGGTTCTTCAGTGATTTGCAGATGATGCAGTGACTAAAAGGAATGGTTGTGACGGCAAGTCTTCGTAGTACGTATTCCATGACCGCTGGAACATTTACAAGAACTAAGTGATGATGCTAAATGCTTGAGATAGACGTCGATGTGTAATACCCAGGCAGCCAAGCAAAAAAATCTCATTCCATTGGTTTCTATAGAGAAATACTTTGAAGGAACTGAAAAACAGCCATAAGCTCTGCGGAACGGTTAGAGAAGCCGCATTTAAACTTATACAGCAGTCTACTCTTCTGTATTCTTCACGGGTAATCGATCCACATATGAGACGGAAAAAGGAAGCGAACTTTCTAGTGATTTTTGCTCGGTAGACGGAGTTGATGTTTCGCCCGTTATGGCATGCCTGGTCCACGGATCGAATTTCGATTTGATACTTGCCCAAGCCAACCGAGCCTTCCAACAGATCACCGTACAGGCTCCATTCCAGTAGCCCCTACGATTTTGAAGGGAGTTGAGTGTGTGGGACCTCTCTAAAATTACGGAATTGATTGAGTCAGAGAACTCTCAGAGTCTTTGGTCTTTCTCTGGTATTCATGCCTGAGATGAAAGATAGAAATCCGTTCTAAAAGTTTTCAGGAAGATCCAGCCGTTGTAGCGGCACGACCCCAACCAGACCACCCTCACGACATCCCTCGATGAAGCTGAAACTGATTCAAAACTAAAGGCATGGTTTGGGTGCCGCGGTTTTCAAACGACCCACCGAAATATTTCGATGGTCCAGGTGGGGTCGATTTTCCTAAGGGTCCAGAAGGGACCAGAATGGACGAATACATGACCCAAGGTTTTTATGGTGAGGATCATTTTTTCTTGTGACATACTTTAGATTTTCGCTGGCATCCCATTACTCCGAAAGGTTCTTCTGTTACAACCATCAATAAGTAAAGATCACTTCCGACAGGTCTATGGAACTGAGATAAACAGAGTCTGAAGTGTTTCGCAGGAAACTGACGAAAGGCACGACTTACATAATGAAATGATTCCATGGGTTGATTATTACCTAAGTAAATAGGTAGGTTCAACGTGACATTGCGCAAATTCCTGGGTTTGATTCCCACTTAGTTAATGGTTAATGTACACCCAGATGCTCCTGAAAGACCGGAAGAAACACACGAGGTATGACAGTAAGATGGAGAAAGGTATATAAAAATAGAACAAAGGAAAAAGAACTGCTGGAGTTGGCACATGCACAAGATTCTGATGCAATTTGACATTCAATTGAATAACCAGAGCTGATGTATTTTCGATTTGAGAACCATCCTTGAATGATGGGACAGAAGAGTACAATTCCTTACATCATTGTTTGCCCTAACACTTTAAAAACAAATGAAATCGACTCCGGTCAGGGATGTGTGATGGCAATGCAGACCATCGCGGACAGGCAGTTGAACCTGTCTCTGTTCGGCTGCTGCCAGGTGTAACCATTTCTGGGCGAAAAAAAANGTTGCAATCGGATGTTGTAGACGAACCTCAACTCTCAGAAAAAAACAAACTTCACCACTGGATCTATTGAAGGTGTACTCGCTGAGCCTTCTGGATTTCAGCTACCGATCCGTGTATTATGAAAAGAGGAGAAACTAAGGGTGTCAGGTACTTATGTGATGGAATATTTACTTTGATTCACCTTTTTTTACTTTATTGATATTTTGAGAGTCAGAAATCGTAGAAAGCCCCTGGTTCGAAGTATTGCAAGAAGTTTACAGGAGTCCCCATCAATTTGTTCACAGATGTTGAAGCACTGCCATAAGAGTACATGAGTTTTGTTGAGTTGCTACCAGTGCCTTCGGTGACTCTCAGGGTAAGATAAACTATGGAAATAAAAGAAGCACAAGTTTCTGTCGGGAAAGAACTTGGATACCAGTCTTTCACTTCAGAAAATGTGGATTTTTCNTCGGCTGCTGCCAGGTGTAACCATTTCTGGGCGAAAAAAAAGGTTGCACAAATAAAGATCATATCATAGAAAACGTGGGAATGTGAGTAGGTAATTCTAACAGAAAAAATTGCATCTCACTTGAAACTTTTCTTTGAACCCAAGGTAGCAATCGGATGTTGTAGACGAACCTCAACTCTCAGAAAAAAACAAACTTCACCACTGGATCTATTGAAGGTGTACTCGCTGAGCCTTCTGGATTTCAGCTACCGATCCGTGTATTATGAAAAGAGGAGAAGCTAAGGGTGTCAAGTACTTATGTGATGGAATATTTACTTTAATTCACCTTTTCTTACTCTATTGATATTTTGAGAGTCAGAAATCGTAGAAAGCCCCTATTTCGAAGTATTGCAAGAAGTTTACGGGAATCCCCATCAATTTGTTTACAGAATTTGAAGCACTGCCATAAGAGTACATGAGTTTTGTTGAGTTGCTACCAGTGCCTTCNAAAGAAGCACAAGTTTCTGTCGGGAAAGAACTTGGATACCAGTCCTTCACTCCAGAGGATGTGGATTTTTCGATGGAACTGGTGTGGGAGTTGAGAAGGGTTGAAAGGAATAGAAAGTCCGATGTTCCATGACTTCCTTCGAAGCCCTACCCTGTTCACTTAGGTATTTCTTAATGTAGTAAGCGATTCTATTTGTTACCTATACATATAACAGGTTGTATATGTCAGTACTTCTCGAGCGGAAGAAAGTTCCTAATATGTATTTGGCTATGACTCAGGAACAGAGAGCTCCTGAAGCTCCTCTTGGAGGCATCCTGAAATTCTAACAGCTCCCGCTCAAGTTTACCAGTATCTCACACTGATGACACATAGCCTATGCAAGAAAAGTTTCACAGAAGTCGTCAAGAAGGTAACAGATGCAGTCTAGAGTTCAAGTACGTACCAAGCGGCACTGGTTAAATAGCAATGATGCGATTCTGCCAAGTAGCGGAGATGATCTTTACGATAAGCTTGTCGAATTAGCCATTGGAACGGTTTCGTTGACCTTGGTAAGTCGACCAAATCTGTCTTCGTCACTTTCAATCAATGTTCATGCGGGGATTTTCAGTAATAATCTCTTCGTGGCATCTGGAGAAAGAAGGAAAACAGTTGGTGGTAAGTTGGCGAATACCAGTAAAACTATTACGGTGATGCCAAATTTGATGTGAAATAAGGACAGTTTTTCATTCAAACCTAATGGAGAGGAACAAGCCTCCTTTAAAAATAGGACGAAATGTAAAGTCTTTTGCCAATGATAAATCTCGCCTTTGGGATGCTCCTCGGCCTCTGGCGTCCATTCAGAATCGTAGTGGTATATTGAATATTCATGGGGCCTATGCAATGAATTACGATGACCAGCCGATGCACAAGTCAGAGCTTTTATCTTCCCAGACGAGTCTGGTACCAGTTAATCGAACCAGAAGGTTTATCGAACTAGGAGGGATAGAAGGCTCGGTTGGCCTGGGCAATCATCTATCCAGGGTATGATCCCAGACTCATGGTATCAAATGGTCTAGCAAAACGTCACTATTGGAACTTTTTCGCAAAATAAGAAGCTCGAGTCATGTCAGCAAGTATTGACTTAAGTGATTCA